GGACGCAATAGGCAATAGGCTGACTCTGTAAACCCTTAGAGAGCTGTAAAGCACTGTGAAATGGTATATAAGTCTAAGTGTTATTGCTATGAATCCTGAAGGAGGAGGTGGTCCTTCTGGCCTTGAAGGAGGAGATGTGCCTACTCCTTAAGAGACCATTACAGACCTCTCCATTCTGGAAAATTACTGTCCAGTTTCCAGTCTTCCTTTCGTGGAGAAGGTTGTAGAGAAGGTGGTCAGATAGCAAGTACAGAGTGCCTTGGATGAAACAGATTACCTGAACAATGGAGTTTCATATCAGGGGACAATGTGGAGACAACATTAGTCATACTTATTGTTGACCTTTGGTGGAACCAGGATGGGAATGGTGCATTCTTCTTTCTACTCTTTAATTTTTCAGTGACTTTTAATACCATCAATCATTATATCCTTCTAGACTGGTAGCATGAGCTGGCAGTGGGGCCTGTGTTGCAGTGGGTCCCCCCCTTCTTCAGTGGTCATTTCCAGTTGTTGCTGATAGGAGGGGAGAGATCACATCCTCAGCCCCCTCATTTGTGGATGCTTCAGAACTTGGTATTCTCCCCACTCCTGTTTAGCATTTATATGAAACTTTTGGGTGAGGTCATTTGTCAGTTTGAGGTTGGTATCATCAGTAGGCAGATGATACCCAACTGTACAGCTCAACTCCAGGCTGAGCAGAGGAAACCACTAATGTACTAAGCCAATGCCTAAAGGCTGTTCATGCCTGGATGGAGAGAAATAAATCTCAGTTCAATCCTGAGTAGCTGTGGCTATTTGGCCTTCCTGGATTGGGGGAATTTTCAATCTTTCCCCATCCCTTCAGATCATCACTCTATTGTAATGTGTTCTACATGGGGCTGCTCTTAGGACTAGAGTTTAAAATGCAGCAAGGTGAGCATTAACTGGAACTTTTTATGACCATGCATCATTGCTGCTATGCAAACTTCATTGGTTTCCAGCTGTCTTCTAGGTGCAATTCAAGATGCTGGCCATCACCTATAAAGCCCATCGTGGCATAGATCCTGGTTTTCTGAAGAACCACCTGTCAACTCTGAATCGAACCTGGCTGAAGCCATCTTGTGCTGCTTCATAGTTGCCACACAATATGGGGGAGGATGAGGGGGAAATAGTTAGACCATCTCGTAGACTAAATAAAGAGCTATCCTGTGGGAACCAAGGTCATCCCAACAGGTGACAGTTGGAGGAAGAGCAGAAGTGATCGAGGAAGCCTGCCACCTGCTTTGATTGGACAATGTGACCTGTGACACCTGGGGAGGGAAACCTTTGCTCTTTTAATTATATGCTAACCGTGGGAAACTTTTAGAGTTGGTTGTGCTGATATGATGTATCCAATAAACATGTTCTCTGAGGAACGTTCCTGCCTTGGAGTTTTGATTTATTTGGATGCGTTATTCGGAACGCTGACACCACCTGTCTCTTAATTGTTTCTGCTCACCCAGCATGTCTGGGCAGAGTGCATGCACTCCAAGTCTCTGAATTAACTGTTGTCTTCTTGTGGAAACAAAGAAGCATACCTTAGCTATATTGTAGACCTGTCTCTGGTAAAGCCCCCCCCCCCTCCCCAAGATGTGTATGGCACCCAGTCTCTTAGGGTTCCAGAAACCCTAAAGACCTGGCTTAATTCTGAGGCTCTGGGTTAACTCACTGCGGTGTCCCTGTATTTTTTATTGTTGTGGCTGTTTTTGTATGAGCTGTTACAGTATGTTCTGCTGTTGTGTTTTGAACTGGTTTAATTGTTGTATATTTAATATGTTGTAAGCTATGGTGATGAGTTCTGTATGATCTGAGAGAGCATGCCTCCGAATGCTAATTGGTATGGAATAAAATTTTAGAACAGCATGCATAAATGTTTCCTATCAGATATCATTTCTTCTAACTACACTTTGAAGCATCCTTCTGTCCTCCATGTATTTCATTTTGCGTGACACTACCCTTGGATCCCACTTATGTGAGCTGCTTCTTTGAAGTACTCCTGAAAAGATTTTGTTTTGAAAAGGTTTTCTTAAAATCATGCAGTATTTTCTAAGGACATCTTATCTGCTCTGTTCGAATCCCATTGTGAGCAATACAATGGAATCTCTCCAGCCCGAAGATCTGCTATTACAGGGTTTTGTTTTGTGATTCTTTTGACTAGCCCATTCATGCCTCTGAAAGGAAGTTACAACTGCAGTGTAAGTAGTAGTATGTTGGAAGGTGTTGAATGAAGCACTTTCAGAACCTCTTTGGGTCTCAGAACAAAAAGAGGACAGAATGAATATTGATTTGGAATAGGCCTCTCTGGATAGGGAGACAGCAGACTAGGTGGCTGGGAAGTATGTATACAAATTAGTGCCTATCATAAAATTATCATAACTAAGATTCTGAACCATTTACTGCTGAATGATGTCTTTGAAATACTGCTGAGATATATTATGAATGGGAACATTTGTTAGATTGGATGGTCTTTTTGTTTTTGGTACAAGAGGTTATCAAGATTTTAAAGCACTACTTCCTGGCAATTTGGCTTCAGCTCATGTGCAAGTGCCATTTTAAGTTTCAATCTCAAGTAATTTTTGACCTGTTGTTCTCAGTAAATGAGGTTTTCAAGATCCCATCTGCTAGGCTCCTGGGAGTTTTGTATCAACAAGCCATTCTAAAACCTTCAAATAATGAAATGCATGTACTTCTTTCAAGCACCTCTGAAGGAACACGTTAAAAGGTTTAATTTATTCACATACATTTTTTTTACATATGAGATTTGTTCTGTCCTTATTATATTAGGTTGAGTTCAAACCCAATTCAAAAGATAAATAGAAGGATCGCTTTCGGGGTTTTTTTTTTTAATTTTAAAATGAACAAAGATGTTATTTCTGCACAATCTTTGAAATATGCATGTTCACATACATTTTGAGTACTCTCAATATTTTGAAACATTTAGATCTTTGGACCACCATACTCACTGCAATACAGATATGCTTTAGTATTGTTTTGGTCCATGCACAGGTCAATGTAAAGTATGCACACTGGATTTTATTCAAATACATTTTTTAACTTTATAAGAAGAAGCAACAGGCATCCCAGAGATGATGAGAACTAGATCAGTACAGAAGGGATTTGAATATTTCCTTCCCACCAGGATCTTGACAGATCTTGGGAGTCGCTTGACAGTGAGATGGGTGGCATATAAATTTAATAAATAAATATAAACAATCTGGGTTGGACTGCTGCTAGCCAAACCAAATTGACTTGGGGCCCCAAAACCCATCAACTCAATAGCAAGTTCAGTTTAGCTTGAAGAGTAACTCTTGTAATCCCCAAGCAAGATCAGGAAATTTCAATGGCACTGTGTAGAATTAATTATGTCTATAATATTACTAACTTTTCAAAAACAATATTGGCTTACATAGCCATTATAAAATTTGTTCATCCTGCGGCAAATGAATTGAAAATGCCCTCAAATCAAATCTGGCTGTTGATTACTGTGGTGATCTATTAAACTGATGGGTGTCTACTGTCCATAGGGGATAAAGGGGAAGAAATGCAATGCCTATATTAGGGGTGTCCGACTGAAGGCATGGGGGCTGGATGTGGCCTGTGGGGTGTTTAGATCTGGCTGGCGGGGCTGCCCTAGAAACACCAAAGGACCTGCCTGTGGTGCCTCTGTCAGCAAAAATAGAGCTTGGGAGGGCTGTGCTCAGCCTGCCTGGGCTTTGTTTTCGGCCATGACAGCCTCCTGCAGCCCTCTGCTATTGAAAACAGAGCCTGGGGAGGCTGTACACAAATGTTTTCATTTGCAGAGGGCTGCAGAAGGCCATTGTGGCCTAAAACAGAGCCTCGACAAGTGACATTGAGCTGGCCATGCCCACCCTGGCCACGCCGAACCCAGGCATGCCCCCCCTGGCCCCCCAGGTCAAATACAACCCTGATGCGGCCCTCAATGAAATCGAGTTTGACACCTCTGGCCTATATGAAGACACAACAGTACAAATGCTGCATCTTTCATATTTATATCCTGATGCAAGTACAAAATTCGATTTAATTCTGTTTTTAAATTATTTTAAATTTTATATTGTATGTATTTTAATTTTGACTGTTCACCACCCTGAGTCCTTCGGGAGAAGGGCGGTATACAAATTTAAATAACAAATAAATAAATAAATAAATAAATAAATAAATAAATAAATAAATACATACATACATACATACATACATACATACATACATACATACCATGGCATTCCTACAATTAAAGTTTGGCACTGCTGCAGATGCTGTTGAATCAAGTGGAAAGATAAATATTTTTGGGGAAAATGACCACCTCCAAAATGCACCATTCAATCCTTTACTTCTTGTTGGTGTGTATTGGAGTAGGACTACTGAATCACTATGGCAACTAACCAGAACAGTTTAGTAAACGTATTACAGGAAAGACTTCAGTTTAACCTTCTAAATTCTTAGAAGCTTTACTGTACATCCAATTAGCAGGACTTTAAGATGTCCATCTGAGTAGAGGGGCTGCTTAGACCACCCCCCTATACACACCAAAAACATTTTGCATCATATTAAAAATTACATGTAATTGCACTACTGTACACTATATCTCATATTGGGAATGGAAGTTTTGAAATAAATTGCAGGAAGCAAGCAATTTTTCATACAAATCACTCCAAATTTATGTTTTCAGTTAATTTACATTTCACCATCAGATCATTCAAACCAATTTTTCTTTCATTAAATTAATTTCTACTCGGTTCTTGCTGCAAAATGGATTCCTCTTAAATACCGCTTATGTCACTTATCAAATCATCACTTCCTTCTAATTAAGCTCCATCATGTGCAGGATTCTCTTCAGAAGAGAAATATGGTAGGGATTTTTCTTACTTTTACTCAAAGACGTTCTGATTACTGCTTACTTTTAATTAAGCTAATGACAAGCCAGTAGCGCGAGTCAAAATATACTGTTCTGTTTTTCTTTCCAGGAGCATTGTATGATGAAAGAAAGGTGTAACATTCCCAGCTAGCCTTCTCTTAAGTGAATCTCATTCTATTGGCCAACTCCAATCTCCTTCTACATGCCAGGAACTGACCATCTGAATAGAATTCAGTCTGTTCTGAGCAGCTGTTGAAGAATTAGCAATGAAAAGAGGACAACTAGACTACTTAAATCCCTTCTGACTGAAAACAAACTGGCCACCAGAGCCATAATCTTTAGGCATGACTTTGGATCATGTACTGTATATGCAGTATATTAACTACTTTAAGGGTTTTCTGAAGACTGCCTGGCTGACTGTTTGAAGCTGTGTTAAATTGAGTCTGTTAATTGTGGTTGACAACAGCCCTCTGGGGCCTTAGATAGAAGATTTTTGCCAGACATAATGGTGAAGATGGGTAAACTGGGAAGGGTGCAAAGAAAGCCAATGAGGACAATCAAAGGTAAGGTGACCATATTTTAACATTGGTAAAGCGGGACACCATTGTGGGTGTGGCTTATTTTGTGGGCGTGGCTTGGAGGTCATGTGACCGGGTGGCCATGGCTATGTGTATAGGGACTACTCAGAGGGCTGAAAAAAGTCATTTCTGACAGGTTCTCGCACTTTTGACTGGTCCTCACACTTTTGACCATCCTCACATTTATGCCCGTGCAGCATTCTTAACAACCATGTCACTCATTTCACAACTGCTTCTCTTCACCATGGTGACAAGATAGGGCAAAAAACGTAAAATGTGAGGATGGTCGTAAGTTTGAGGACTGGTCAAAAGTGCGAGGACTAGTCAAAAATAACTTTTTCAGCCCTCTGAGTAGTCCATATGCAATAGAGAGGGATGAAAGAAGGGAAGGGAAATTAGAGTAGGAGTGAGGGGAAGAGAGGGAGGAAGAGAGGAGGAGAAGGAGAAAGGAAGAGGAAGTAGGGAGGAGAAGAAGAGGGTGGGGGGAAGAGAAAGTAAGAAGGAAAGAAAAGAGAGAGGTGGTAGGTTTGAGGAGAAAGATTGCTGTACAATAAAAAAGATGAAAGGGAAGAAAGCCAGCCCCAAACAAATATAAAGATATTAAGATAAAGAATGAATTGTTAAACTTTAAAGAATAAAAGAGAACAAATATGAATAAATAACAATAATTAGAAACACACATACAAACATACAATGTATTTTCTTTGAACAGAATATTTGGCTGGTTCACAAATTTAAACAGTGTTTAGTCATTTCAATTAAATTTACAATTTCTATATTTCCTTTTTGCCATATTTATTCCTCATCTATTTTTTTAAAAAAACAATATTACCCTTCATCCTCATCTCTAATCTTAATCAAATTCAATTTTTCCCTTCTATTCTATATTATACCCCTTCCCATGGTCATCTATTTTTATATCCATCCTCACATTGGTTAATTATGTAATTATGTAATACAGTTGTTTAATACAAATTCAACATTTTAATATAAATCAATTAGTTATATAACTATCTTTTTTGTATATTAATCAATATGAACATGAATATTCCAATTATTTCCATGCAATCCAATTTCTTACAAATCAATTAATTATATTTACCAATAATAATAAACCAAATAATTTCCCCCATATATTCCTCCAAACCACAACTTAACCATTTCTGCTTTCAACACAATATACAATTAATAGTATCTCAATTATTACAATTCCCTAGTTAAATAGAGCTTTTTTTCTTTTGTGTTTTAAAATCTTGAACTCTCCTCTTTTGCCCTAAATTTCTCATTGTTTGCAGTTTTGCACCTACCTTTTTTGGTGAGGAAAAAGAAAAAGAACTCTCTCTCTGCCTCATTTTGTCACGTTGCAGCAAAGAACATGCTTTACTGTCGCTTTCGCTTTTTCAGCATAGCTAGGGGAAAAAAAATCTGCTCCAGGAACTCTTTGCAGCTAGCAACAGAACAGAGTCCTGCGCAAAACAGCTGAGAGCAAATCAGCTGAGAGTGGGGAAGCCGAGCTAATCAATTTGTGCTAATTAACTTATGCGGAAGCTGTAAGGGGCTATTTTTGCAGGCATTGGTCTACTCATTCGTTTTCTTTTAACACTGATCAGCTGTAGGGCGGCCCTTTGAAGCCCCGCGGCAAGAGTTTAAACAGTTTTTTTCCCTCTAGCCATCAGCTGGGACTCAGGAGGCAGCCGGGATTCAGGAGGCAGAATGAAAAATCGGGACTTTTTTAAAACGCCGCGGGACAAATTGCTAAAAATCGGGACTGTCCCGCCAAAAGCGGGACGTCTGGTCACCTTAATCAAAGGACTTGATCCAAGTCCTACAAAAAGAGCTGGGAATCAAACAGAATGTTTAGCCTTGAGAAGATGGGGTGAAGAATTGGGTGAGTTGGGTTCAATAGCGTCGTCTTTGATGACCAAGACCAAGATTTTTTTTCCTGTTATTTCAGCATGCAAGGCTGACATAATGGATTCAGCTTAGAGGAATGTTAGAAAATGTTTCTAAAAGTAAGGACAGTTTGGCAGTGGCTTTTCTTCACTTGATGTGTTCAAGGAAGGCTGATGGACACATGAGGAATGCTTTAACTCTGATTCTTGCAAAAAGCAGGACTTGGGCTAGGGCTCTGAATAGTGTCTTCCAACTCTGATTCTATGGAAGCTTTGGCAAGCAAACCAGGTTTGCTAGGCAGGTCATGCCTAGTGCAGTTCCCCTAAAGCAGGGATGTCAAACTCAAGACCCGGGGGACGGATTCGGCCTGCGGGGTACTTAGATCTGACCCGTGGGACCGCCCTGGAAACAGCGAAGGACCGGCCTGCGGTGCTTCTGCCAGTGAAAATGGGCTCCCGAGCTCCATTTTCGGCTGCCAGGGCCTCCTGTAACCCTCTTGTCAGTGAAAAAGGAGCTCAGGAGGGCCTTCCCGAGCTCCTTTTTCACTGGTAGAGGGTTGCAGCAAGCAAAAATGGAGCTCGGGAGCCCGTTTTCGCCAGCAGAGTTCTCAGGCCACAACAGGTGCCCCCGACAGTGAAGTTGAGCTGGCCACGCCCACCCTGGGCCCCTGAGGTCAAACACAACCCTGATGCAGCCCTCAATGAAATCGAGTTTGACACCCCTGCCCTAAAGAGCTTCTGAATGGTATTTCCTAATGCAACGTTTCTCAACTTTGGCAAGTTTCAGATGTGGGGATTTCAATTTCCAGAACTCTCCAGAGTTGAAGTCCACACATCTGAAACTTGCCAAGGTTGTGAAACACCACCACAATATTTCGTTTCAAGGGAGAATGGTGCTCATATGTTATTTGAAGCTTCACTGAATCTCTAAAGTGATTTCAATCAGATGCCTCTTTGATATTTTTACTGTGAGATTGTTATCCGGTGTTCTGATGAATTTTCCAACTATTTTATTGACAACATTCCTGTAGTTCAGGGGCACACAGCATGATGCTGAACCTATTTCTGTCTATTTGGATTTGATTTTCATGCCTTCATTGCTCATAAACACACTGATATTCCTTGTAGTATTTCTATTGCTAGCAGAAAATTTTCAGAAGATGGTGAAGGTTAATTGCATCTGTGTTATAATGAAACATGGGCCCTAAGTAAGTTAAATGTTGACAAGGCTAACGGTGAGCACAATCATTAATGAAATTAAGCCTTTCCTGACCATGTACTTTGTGGCTCCTGGAGCAACATATTGCATAGGTAGCCAGGAGTGCTTTCCAGCAAAACCTATGTTTCTTACTTTTCTAGAGCTAAAAATGGACACATACCTCAGTGCAGTGCTCAGTGCATTTACTTGAATATGTGTTTTCAAATATTAGGTGGCTTCATCTTCTGCTTCAAAAGAATCTCTATTGAAGAAACTGAGGAGCCATATTAAACTGTAGTGCTATGTAGCATTTTGCATTCATCCATCTAAGGATGCTTCAGAGTTTTAATATAGCACCTGACTATAGCATCTTAAAGTAGCTGCGTCTTTTCTTAGAACTGCATGATCCTGGGGAAAGATGGGGCTGCTATAAAAGGTTGCAAATATGTGGTATGTTCATTGTATAATCAGAAGCACTTTTTGTAGTTTGAATCCTAAAGACTGCCCAGCCCTATTAAATAGCGCAATGACATCTGAATTGGGAGGTTCATTTTTTTTTTTTAATCATACACTCTTAGACCTGTTAGATAATATATTGTGCAGCTGGATTTGCTGATCACACTAAACCATAATATTACTTCTTTGATTTTGACTCTCTATTACTGTTTGACAGCCTGTTTATTATTTTACAGATAGATGCATTACCAATTCATGAATGGCTCTTGGTGGCTTACCAAAACATACATAGTCAGCACAACGCAGAATGAAAACCCTTAGTAAAAGAAACATTAAAAAAAACCTCGCTTGGAATGTAATAAACTGATGACAAGTCTCATCTCCAACTACAGTTTGGTCCCCAATGTGAGCTTTGCAGTGAAAAAGCATGGTTTATCTACTCATTTTAATGTTATTTTTAAAAAAAATGTCTTGAAGATTTGAGAGTGTGGAGAAGATTATACCAGAATAGGAGGTCTTGCAGATAACTTGGGGACTAAGGCATGTAATAGTTGCTGAATGAACCCTGCCGTTATGATTTATGTGACTAACTGTGCTTTACTGTGCTATTTGAACCCAGTGTCATGAAGTTCATAGTCCAAGTGCTTGTGGAAAAACACATTTTATTCTTATAGTTGTTCCTATAAAGTTTCCTTTCCTTTGTTGCTTGCAAACTCTTGGTCCTTTCGGCATTGTATGACTATTGTATTTGCCCTTTGTTTTAGGCTGGATTTTTTGCCTAATCCTAAAATAGGCTTCTAATATTTTCATTGTCCAAACTTAGCCAGATTGGGGTTATAGAATAGAATAGAATTCTTTATTGGCCAAGTGTGATTGGACACACAAAGAATTTGTCTTCGTGCATACACTCGCAGCGTACATACAGTAAAAGCGAAGATACATTCATCAAGAATCATAAGGTATAACGCTTAATGATAGTCATAGGGTACAAATAAGTATCAATAAATACTGCTAAATAATAATTATCTATCTATCCATCCATCCATCCATCCATCCATCCATCCATCCATCCATCCATCTGCTTTATTAGAATAAATCTCCTTGTCAAAGAATGCTCAGATCACATGATTGCTTGGAAATATAAATACCAGCCAGAACACTTGAGAATATAATTTAAATGTACAGACTATTTCAAAACACACTGCTAAAATTCACCAATTACTTAACCAAATAGACGTGTGTGGATAGTGAGTGTGATATCATTGTAATGGAATGGGAAATATTTAGTTGGCGTATGTGATTGTTTCAGAAAAGTACTATAGTAAACAAGAGCCTTGGTAGTACAGGGGTTTAAGGCACCCTGTTATTAAGCTTATTAAGACCAGCTGCCTGCAATTACTGCAGGGTTCGAATCTCGCCAAGGCTCAAGGTTGACTCAGTCTTCCATCCTTTCTAAGGTAGGTGAATGAGGACCCAGTTTGTGGGGGCAATAAGCTGACTTTGTATAAATATACAAAAGGATGAAGGCTATTGCTGAGCACATTGTAAGCCGCCCTGAGTCTTCGGAGAAGGGCGGCATATAAATCAAAATTAAAAATATATATATATATTTTTGATCCAAGTGAATGTGGGCCATTTATTATATATTTGAGCTAAAAGCTTTGCTATAATCCTGCGAGTTGCCTATAAGTAGATCTTTTACTGGCTCCCAACATTGCAGACAAAATCCAGGAACCAAACGCCTTATCTTCTGTCTCTCTATCGGTATCAGAGACTTCTCAATTTTCATCCCTGCCATCAGTTGTCAGTAAGCTTAACATGTTTGGGCACTGGAGCAGGTAGCCTTGGTTGAGCAGTGATAAATATGTCTGTTCCCCAAGATAGTACATGGCATTATCTTTGAAAGGAGAGACTTATTCCAAGCCTCTGTTGATAATTCAGAATCAGAGTTGTCTTCTGTTCCACTCCATTTGTCACTATCTATAACAGAGTCCCTTGATCCAGAAAGACTGTCGTGGCTTTCCAGCTGCAGAGTGACAGCCTAGAGGAAATGGGCACATTGCACTGGGCTCAGTGAAGAAAAAGATTTAACCGCCTCATGTTCACATAAACACTGACTGCACTGCTGGGGTAGAGACCTGATGATCAAACCTACAAATGAAGGCAAATCAAATACTGGAAGCCAGTGTACTTTATTTGTCCTCTTCTTCACATGAGTCCAGGATAGCCTACATCAAAAGAGGGAGAGTTTTGCTTTGCTGAAGGCAGACTCATAAATTTGGTGGCATCTCTGTGTGACAGAATCCTATTCACAGACACATGCCTGCTATTCCTTATGACCTTCTGGGGATTATAAAATAGACTTCCCAATTCATCTGCTTTGTATGCAACTCAAGGCTATTTTAAACAGCCGGGAAGAGACTTTCCAGACTTGATTTTCCACACTCCACTGCTTCAGTGCATTGCAATCTTATGCTGCTGTGACAGGCAGATGCATGTTTATTATATCTAAACTCTGCCTTTCCTCATAAAAAGTCAGTCAGGAGCACACAATTCTCACCCATACTATGAAATGTTGACTGGCTCAGCTGAGGATTTGAATCTTCCCTGAAAATATTGACTCTGTCCTCTTCCTAATCCCACCACAAGAACATCCCATTCACCAGTTCCCAAATGTATGACTTCATACCTCTGCCTGTATTTCAAGGCTATCCTGTATCTTGTGGTGGCCAAAAACAGAAAGCCAAGCAAATATAACTTTGAAAGGTTTTATCAATGAATTGTCATAGCTGGGACACAAGTAAGTCATTAGCCAGACAGTCCTTAAGACTTCATTGGAGAAAATCTGTCAGAGTGGTTGTTAAGAGTCAGGACCAACTTCTGATGGCACTTTATCAGAATTTAAGACTTAGAAAGTTCAGAGTCTGTAACTTGCCTTATAACTTCACCTGTGGAGTCGAACAAAAGAAAGGCACGACCAAGAGAATTGCCTATAATAATCCAGGATTTTAGGGCGAGAGAATTCCACAAGCTAGTCAAATGCAGCAAGAGTTATAGGAACGAAGACCCAGAGTTCCTTTCAACAGAGGGTCTTAAATAGACCCATTTGCTGCCATGGTTTGATTAGAAGTACTGTTGATCTTTCAAGAATTGCTGATCACTTTGTGACTCCTAGTGTGTTCTTGGGCTAGAATCTGGCTCCTCATTATAGAAATCACCAGCTCAGATTCATCAACTTTACACTGCCAGCTGATTTTTTGCCGGCTGGACAGGTTGGTGGTCTGTCTATTATGCCTCAAGGGGCAGAATCAGATTCCAGAGAGGAGGAGAGATGCCAATGGGTGGGACCAAGAGGGAATGCTGATGCGTTTCCTGTATTCCTGAGTCCTACTGGGTCTCTTTTCTGTCAGCAAAGCCGTCTGTCCAGCAAACTTGAATGCTAGATGATATGAAGGATTGTAGAACTGACTTTAGGGATAGGGAAGAAATGAAGGAGCCACTAAGAGGCAGGGGATAGGTGGGGACTTTCAGAAAAGATCACAGAGTCCTGAGAAAAAAGAAAGCTGTCCCAACCTTAATTTTGTTCATATAACGCCGGCAGGACCAAATTTGTCAGGCTTTCAAGATTCTGTCATTCTACCACACTATAAGAAAGAACATTCCTGCAGTCCCTGAAATGCCTGTTTCTGGACCTGGGCTGACAATAACACAGAAAGTTTTGTCTTACTAGGAAGTCACTTCCTACATAAACAGTAGTGGTTTAGCCAATAGTTTATTTATTTATTTATTATATTTCTATACCGCCTTTCTCCAGTAGGACTCAAGGCGGTGTACAGTCAAGAAAAATATAGACACACAAACATCATAAAATTGCTAATTAAAATTATTACTTAGTTTGGTCAATTAAATAAAACCCAGAATTAGATAACATTTAAAAAATTCATTCACATGTTCATATGTTTAGCCCCGCCTGTTGGAACATCAGGGTCTTGAGGGCACGGCGGAAAGCACGGAGATCAGGGATATTCCGTATCTCCGGAGGCAGTTCATTCCAAAGGGTTGGAGCCCTCACAGAGAAGGCCCTCCCCCTGGGAGTCGGCAGTCGGCATAATTTGACTGACGGTACCCTGAGTAGTCCCTCCCTGTGAGAACGAACTGGTCAGTGGGAGGCTATTGGTGGCAAAAGACGGTCTCGTAGGTACCCAGGTCCTAAGCCATGGAGTGCTTTAAAGCTGATAACTAACACCTTGAATCGCACCCGGAAGACCACCGGGAGCCAGTGCAGCTCGCTTGGGAGAGGTGTTACATGGGCATAACGAGCTGCGCCCATAATCACCTGCGTGGCTACATTCTGGACCAGTTGGAGCCTCCAGGTGCTTTTCAAGGGGAGCCCCATGTAGAGAGCATTACAGTAGTCCATACGGGAGGTAACTAGGGCATGAGTGACCGTGCGCAAGGCGTCCCGATCCAGAAAGGGACGCAACTGGCAGATCAGGCGAACCTGATAAAAGGCACCCCTGGCCACAGCCGTCAAATGATCTTCTAAAGATAGCCATGAATCCAGGAGGACACCCAAGTTGCGGGCTCTCTCTGTGGGGAACAAGATCTCATCCCCTATTGTCAGTGATGGTACCAGCTGACTATACTGGGACGCCGGAAGCCACAGCCACTCGGTCTTGGAGGGGTTGAGTCTGAGCTTGTTTCTCCCCATCCAGATCCGCACGGCCTCCAGGCAACGGGACATCACAGCAAGGGCATCATTGGGGTGGTCTGGGGTGGAGATGTATAGTTGTGTGTCATCAGCATACTGATGAACACTCACCCCGAAACCACGGATGATCTCGCCTAGTGGTTTTACATAACTGTTGAACAGAAGGGGTGAGAGGACTGACCCTTGCGGCACCCCACAAATAAGGTGCCTCGAGGTCGACCTCTGCCCCCCTGCCAACACAAACTGCGAACGGTCAGAGAGGAAGGAGAACCACCGAAGCACGGTGCCCCCTATTCCTAACCCCTCTAGCCGGTGCAGTAAGATACCATGGTCGATGGTATCAAAAGCCGCTGAGAGATCTAATAAGACCAGGATAGAGGAGCAACCTCTGTCCCGAGCCCTCCAGAGATCATCCACCAACGCAACCAATGCCGTTTCCGTGCTGTATCGTGACCTGAAGCCCGACTGGAACGGATCCAGATAGACAACTTCATCCAGGTATAATATAGCCGGGTCCAGGGAAGGCTTCTTGAGGAGGGGCTTCACAACCGCCTCTTTCAAGGCGGCAGGAAAGACACCCTCACTCAGAGAAGCATTTATAATCCCCTGGAGCCAGCCTCGTGTAACCTCCCGGGAGGCCAGTACCAACCAGGAGGGACACGGGTCCAATAAACATGTGGCAGCGTTAAGCTTGCCCAGAATCCTGTCCACGTCATCAGGAATCACAGAGTCAAACTCTTCCCAGATAACACTCTCAAGACCTGCCCCCGTCTCCTCCCCTGGATCTACCCAATCGGAGTCCAGGCCTTCCCGAATCTGAGCGACTTTATCATGCAGGAATTGTACAAAATCCTCAGCTCGACCCTTTAAGGGATCTTCCCATACCCCCACCTGAAGTAGGGAGCGGGTCACCCTAAACAGCGCGGCTGGGCGGTTCTCTGCAGATGCAATAAGAGCGGAGAAGTAGCTAGACTTTGCCGCTCTTATTGC